GGGCGAGGGCTTCTTACGGGCTGGAAGGTGTGTCCGACCTCATCAATTATGTCAACGAGTCTTTAAGGCCTGACAGACAAGGGCGACAATACAAGGGCCTGATGGGGGTGAGGAGCTGGGCGGGGGCGCCATCCGTCATTGGATGGGCATTGATCCTCCGAGGCACCATTGGGCCCTTCTTCCCTGTCCCCCTGGCCGGGGATGGAGGGGCTTCCCCAGTTCCCCCTTCTTCTCGGCCGCTCTTCAGCATACACACACACGCACCAAACTCCAGAAAGGCAGGCAGGGCGAACAACGGGACGCTCTTTCGTGTTCCCTTCTGCCCCCCCCCAAAGACAGCCAAAATCCTACCCCTACCCTCTCATCAGCCAGGAAATTGGCCCCTTAAGAAGGGCGCGCTGACACTCGCTCTGGTTAAACCTAGTGCTTTCCTTATCGGTGGTTTCAAGCATGATGCCCCTAAGGCCTGCCCTAAAAATAAGGAACCGGGGGGGGGGATATGACAACTTCCAAAATGCTGTGGGCTTGCAGAGATCACTGGCCGATTGTCATCTCCCAGAGGAGGTGACAATGAAAAAGTAGCTTTAGCTGCTCCTTAGGGAAGCCCTCCAGATGTTGGTCTGCAGCTTTCAACATTCCTCTCCATTCCCAACACCTGGAAAGCCATACTTCACCCCATCCCTCCACACCCAATGACATCGTAGTTGGCACTTCTGTAATTTCTCTAGCCCTCCCTCCCTTCCACCCCACATCTTTCTCTCTCTTTGGACAGTGACAGCAGAAGATGGACATTACCATCTTGGACTGAGCTCTGCTTTCTGAACTCTCCGTTCCTGCCATTCCAGCACTTGGTTGCTGGAGTGGTGGACTAATCAGCAAGGCATTCATTTGTGCATTAAATAAATGGGTTCCAAGATGATATAAAATTGATTCTGCTCTTTAAAAAAAATAATAACCTGGATGAAGAAAACGCACCAGGGCAGTAACAATCTTAGAGTTCTCAGTGAGGAGACTGTCCTGAGAGTGTGGGCACTTGATCTGCTCAAAGTTTGGTTTGGGGTTGTACCATCACAGTTCTGTTTTCATGTCATGGTGCATCAGCGATTACAGGCAGAGGAACAGCATGCTTGACAGCGTCTAGCACAAAGACTAACCAGAGGTGTGGTAAGAGGAATTCTCACAGAAAAGGTGTGGAACTTTGGTTTTGTTGTGAATGTTTGCAAGATCAAAGAGAAGAAAATTATTACGGTTTCTCTCTCTGTATCAGAATAGGGGCTGTGTAGCCATGTGGGTGGCCAGCCCTACAATACAGCCACAACAAAGCAGAAGAAGCAGCTAAAACCTCACCTTATAAAGAAAGTTACATTCCAGATAAAAAGGCCTAAATGCTAAGCAACTGCATATCTATTCCTTAGAAAAACAGGAGAGGAATTGAGACAGATGGACCCCTAAGAGTATCAATCTAATCAAAGTGCAGGAGGAAGTGTTGGTCAGAGAGTCCAAAGAATAGACAAGCCTCCTTAGCATCTCTAGTCATAAATCCCCTTGCAGGCACCTTGAGCCAGATAGGTGCTAAGAAGTGATGCTTGGAGGATTCCAGGTCAACAGATCTGAAGTCCTCCAAAGTTCATAGAGAGATGCACATCCCATTATTTCTGCACATACTGGTAAATTTTTGATGTAATCCCATCTTTTTTAACAGTGTCTTGTGCCAAAATAAAGTGCCATACAATGCTAACAACCCATATATAAAGCACTTTTCTGGAAATGTGAATACAGTATTTGATTCAGGCATGACTGTGTAGCATAAACATAAGTTTTCAATTATTTACTGTGTAAATATAATACGATACCCAGCGTGGTGTTGTGGATATAGTGACAGAGTAGGTCTCAGGAGACCTAGATTCAAATCCCCACTCAGCCATGGAAACTCACAGGTGGTGGATGGGTGGGTGAAATTGGTAAAACCATTTCTTAAATATCTTACTTATCTTGAAAATCTTATTAGGGTCACTATAAGTCAGTTCTAACCTGACAGCACATAACAACACTGTATATATAGTACTTTACATTGTTACAAGAGCTCAGTTCTAACCTGACAGCACATAACAACAGTACTGTGCATTGTTACAAGAGCCTGATATTATTTAATTGTCATGGCCCCCCACATACAGAATCCCATGAGTTTGGAGAAATAGTTGCCATTCTCTGCTAGAAGGCTACAGTGCATTCTTTCAAACTGCAAAGAAGTCTATGTGCTTCCTCATGGAACTACAGAGCCCCAAGATTATGCAGGAGGAAGCCATGGCAGTTAAAGTTACCATTCAACTGTGATAACTGTGTAGGTAGATGCACTTTACATTTATTGGCATTAGCACTCTTGAAAATATCTTGTGCTAAAACATATTTGGTTAGATATGATGCTGGGGCATGGGATGCATGGAAGAAACATTTTGGGGAAATTGTGGCTATGTGCCCTAGGATAGTCTAGACTTCACAGGGGTTGCACACCACTTGTTTCTTATTTATTATTTGGAGTTGTCGCACATTATAGAGCATTACGCAAAACCAGTAGTTCCAATCTGAGGGTTTCTTATAGGTCTTGAAGGGGCTGATACACAGATCATCAAAATACATGATAGAGGGTTGTTTTGGAGAGTGTGAAAACACTTATTTTGGGGGCAGGGTATGAACACATTGGAGAGCTAACGTGGTCTATGAATGGAGTCATGGATTAGGACATCTGGGTTCAAATCTATAATCAGTCATAAATATCTCACCTTGAAAACTCTATTAGGGTTGCCATAAATACATATACGAGTTAGTTAATGAGGATCATCAATAATTGAATTAAGGTTCATCAACAATTTAATTTCAAACCTCTATGGGTATAAAAATCAGTGGGAAATAATAACAAACATGATATCATTTTGCAGCACATTAACAGGATGCATAAATTCTTCAGCAAATGTGTAGCTTCAAATTTTCAAGCAAAACAGTCTTGCCTTTGACATCCTCCTCCTTCTTACTAACAATAATATATCTGGGCATTTTTTGTTTGTTTGTTTTATTGTGTTATAATGTTGAATTGCAACAAGAAGTTGAATTGTAACAAGGAGTTGTTAACTATAAAGTAAGAAAATGTAATCAGATTAAATCATCATTATGTTCTATGGGGCAAATATTTTTTTCTTTAACTGTCATCCTTGAAAATTGCAATCATTAAAATAAATGTATGGTACAGTATATGCTTCTTCCAGGAGTCCCTGCATTAGTAAACTAGGATCTGTGTGAAGAAACATTTCAGATTGAATAGGCTTGTTCTGCTTTTGTAAAATTAGTAAGGAATAACGGCACATGTTTCATTTTGCAATGTATATCTTAAGTACTAGGATGACTTCTTTTTAGAAACAGCTAATTGGGAGTAAAAACTGTATTTGGGAGGAGAGTGGAGTGTATTGGGGGCATAAATAATAACTTGTCTTACTTAACCTAATTAATTAATTTTTTAGTGAAGGAGGATTGCTGTATTAATTCCACAATGGTGGTATTCTCATTCCACAGATCACTTCTCTAAACATCAGTGGGTTTGAGGGAGGATGCAGACAATATAGTGTCAGGGATGCTGCCTTAACACCACTGATATGTTTGTAGGGAGTCAGTGGTCAGGGAGACCAGGGGAGTCCAGCTTGTTTTGCATAGCTTGCTGAATGATGGTGGAATTGCACAGATAGTGATGGCAATGCCAAAGTGGAGGGCAGAACTGAAGTGGTTCTTACGAAGAACAAATTCCTTGGAATTAATTCCTTTTTCATAAGAACAAAGCTCAATTGGTTAAGTATCCAGCTGTGGAGTCAGAGGCTAGGAGTTTGATTTTCCATTGTGTGTCCCAGGAAAAAAGCCAGATTGTGTAGCTTTGGGCAAACTCTGCAGTACCAGAGAACACCCACTTCAAAGTACTGTATACCTAAAGTACCCTGCAAGGAGCTGCTATAAGTCAGAATTGATTTGTGGTGTATAATTCTTATTATAAGGATTTTCACTCATTGATTGTTGCTCCTTTTGCACTGTAACTGTTACATTGCTTTTATTGTTAACAAATGATGGCCTCACTAAGGATAGAGGAAGAATATGACAATCAACTTTTAAAGTATAATATAACAATAATGATTTTGATAGGCTTTGGAATGAGGACTTCACGAATGTGTTTTAAGAAAAACCACTTTGCAACTCTGTTCCACCAATGAAGTATTCTGAAGAAAGCTGCACGTCTTCAAAACCAGACTCTGTTCACTTGACCTTTTGGTCTCTATAGGCCTCATGTGGGACAGCAAATTAATAATAAGCTGGTAAAAATACTTCTTTTTAAAACACAGCTTGAAAGACATATCCATTTAGCCCAATCACAGGATATTTGTTATGACTAAATCAGTGAAAGCTGCTACATGTTCTTTTGCAGAGAGAGAGAGAGATTGATTAATTTATCTCATTTTCCAAGTAATTTCTCTTATTTTTAATAAATTCATGAATTCTATAAAAAGAACTGCCTGAATATGGGATGAGCAACCATCTCCTCCTCCACCTCCTGGATGAACAACTGTGGTCTGTGTCGGATAGCACAACTGTAAATACACACACACACACACACAAAGAGAGAGAGAGTGTGTTTCCTTTCTCTCAAACTTAAACACACATGCACTCATACATACCCAACACATTTATAGAGGCAAATGGCCATAAGCCAGGTGTGAGGTAGTCATATGTCTGAAATTTTGGCCAAGTCATACCTCCCAAATTTAAATAAATAAATGAACAAACAAACAAACAAGAACGTCCTTTAGTGCACTCTAGAGGGTGGGAGATGTGATCTGCCATGTTTGTAAGCTTCCAGTATTCATGGGACCCATTGCGCATGGGTGCACATGCACCCACACATG